GAATTCACAGAAAATTTAATTTCATACCTTAGTTTCTGAATGAAGTTGAACTATGCCTTCAGATAATAGACCTCTACAGACCAAAAATAAACATCATACATTAATGGTAGATAACACTAAGCTCAGACAATGAAATTCAACAGTAATTATATTTGAAAGAGAAAGTATACAACTATCAAGGTGATTGTACTATAATTCTAGTTACCTACACATTAACTTATTTTGAATGATTTCATTAACAAGAAAAATGCTGGGAGGGTGGTAAGCTCCCACTTAATGGGTTTTATAATGTACAGGTATATGGCATACTTCCTGGGTGAAGGATACAACTACAACTCAGACTTTACCTTACAAATGCAAACAATATAATGTAGTCCTATGTACCCTCATATCAATCTGAAATTTAAAATAAAATAAAATTGTAAACTAAAAAAAAAAAGTACTTTGGTTAAGTAACTGACCTTTGAGATGATACACTACTATACCAATATTTTTGTGAGAAAATGTAGCAAAAATGCCAATGAATGGAAATCATAAGGAAATCATAATCAGCTGCATACATTTTACTAATTTTTTTTTACAAATAATTCACCACAGAAATTTTATTTACTGCAAGCTCACTCAATGTCACCATTCTTCTAATGCACATAAATACTTGGGTAGTGTCCATTTTCACCATTACACTGTCCACTCTAAAGGACAGAAATCGTATCTGCCTTGTTCACTGCTCTATGACTAGGGCTTGGCATAGTACCTGACATGCAGGCTATTAAATTGCTACTAAATATTTCGTGAATGAATGAATGAATAATACATCTAACTTGTAATTCACTGTTATACACAAGGCTTTCCAAAATATGTTTGTAGTTTAAAACAAGGATTATATGGGGGTCTGCAGAATAGTGAGACTCTGTCTCAAAAATAAAAAAAAAAGAAAGAAAGAAAGAAATCTGATCTAGGTGGAAATTTTAGCAAACAAAATCACAACAAAAATCAATAGATTTATTTTTTATGCTTGTAAAATCAGTCTCTTATTTGCTTCAACAGAAACTAGGGACCATCTATTGTTACCATCATTTTGATTGATCCTTTAGTTTACTGGATAAAAGCATAACTGTTCTCTGTAATTCAAATTTTGGAATTTTGATAACTGTTAAATATCTTTTTTCATAAAATATCAGAAAACATTATGTTTCATGTTATACAAACACATACATGTGCATATCAAATGATATAAAATAATGGTATACTTCAAGTTAGTGGTATAGCTTCATGTTATATATACATGTACATGTGTATATCTAATGATATAAAATAGTAGTATACTAAAAAAATTCAAAAGCAACAAACTAGGCATTAATTGCTTGAGAGCAAGATCAGGTGTTTGTACCCATCATTGTACTGCCAGTAGTTAGACCTAACATTAATGGTATTCAATTTTTTTCAGGTTTATTGAAATATAATTTAAT